ACTAAAACAATGAATCTATCACCCTTCAAGAGAAAGAGTGATTAAAAAAAAAACTCCTAAGTGCTGTGTGTAAGTATTTTAGTTCTAAGAAGCTACAAACGCTGCCCCCTCCCAAAAAAATTCAATAAGCAGTTCCAACATTTATGAAAAAAATAATAATTTAGAAGTTTACACTGAAGATGGTACCTTACAGTTACAAATTTAGTCTATATTTAGTTTATAATGCAATAAATTGCTACAAACCAGGAAAAGGATTTCCAGACTTTTTTATTTGTCCTTATCTTTCCATACTCAGCCTAGCCAGGGTTGAGAAGACTGAGAGGAGAGCATGTTGCAGCTGTTTCTGCCTCTTCTAAAATCTTATTTCCTGTTGAAAGTCTGTCTGATCAAAAGGTCAGTAGAAATAAGTCCCAACTTACTGGAAAGGAGAGTTAAGCATCAGAATTTTGTAATATGTTACAGTTAGGAGGGAGAACTGTTTTAATTATATTTCATTGATTAAGCTCATGCAAGATTTTAATTTGCAAAAAATTAACATCTTCTGTGCTGCAGGCAACTTAGAAGAGGCTAATACCAAATGTGTGGCATCAGGATAGTCTTCCCCACCATTCTGAGTTCCCTGAACTTGCTTTATTGCCCTCACACCACTTTTCTTGGGAAGAGTTAGGGGAGTTGGTTGGTGTTGGGGGTTGGGGCCCAGACTCTAGCTCCTCAGAAGGGAGGAGCTCATAGACACATTTCTAGAGCTGGGTGCCAAAGCCAGTTGTTGGGCATCTTGTTTTTCAATTTTGCGACAGAATTTACGGTGCTCAGGGTCTGCCTAAATAAGCCCTTTGGGAAAGGTATTGATTTTCTTTAGCCAGTCTATACCCACACAGGCTGTTCAAATCAAAGGATTCTTCTGGGAGCCAAGGATATCTGTCCCCTGAAGTTAATCCTATCCAAACATTTTCACAAAGATTTTTAAATTGGGCATAGACAATTTGGATTCCTTGAAGGGCATTTTTCTAAATTAGCCAAGAGACAACCCATGAGTGCGTCTTTAGAAGAAACAGACTATCTAGATCCCATACTTGAGAGTAAAAAAGTTTTCTCCTGGAATATTTGAACCAGAATCTATGGGATTCAAAGGGAAAATGATTTTGGAACTAATTCACAGAATCAAATTATAGAAACGAATTCACTGAACCCCTCTAAATAAATTTTCGCATCTGTCCAAAGTTTTGTTGGCAGCAACAACAATATAAAATAGGTTGTTGAGATATCTTCACATGCCTTCTGACCTGTGTTCAATATGACACTGGGATATAGACCAGATTGTACATTCTTACCAGGATCTCTTAACCAGTGATCAAAGTAGGAACCAGACCCAGACCAGAAAGGGGATCTCTGATTGAACCACTGCAGTGTTTATAGCAGACTGAACCAGGACTGCATAACTAGTGGTCAGAACCGTGGCACTCAACCAGAGCAGGATCCTTGAAGCATCAAATACCCTGGAGTCAGAGACAATGGCCAGAACAGATGGACCAGTCTCTTGCTTATATGTCTGCAGAAAAACAAGGCAAAAAGGGCACAGGGTTTGGGGGGAAATATTCCTTGTTCTGCTTGTAAAAGCCCGGAGATTCTCAGTCAAGACTTTGCTTATGACACCCGAATCACAGTGCCATGTTCATCAGAATGTCTGGGAAACGTACCAGATGAAGCACCCCCAAATTTCAACAGATTGATTATTTAAATGGAAAAGAAAAAATAAAGAATTATACACAGAAGTACACAGGACACGCATGGAAGATAGACTTAGCTCCCTTCCTGTGATTTTTGGACAGCATTCTTCATGGCTTATTTGGGTTTTCTCTTTGCAAGTCTCCAAAGTAAATATAACTTTAGGAAGTAGAGGTCTTCTCTTTCCAATGCTACTTCCTGTCCCTTTGTGGTTTTCCAACTTTGTTGTGGGAGAAATATCTTCTTTTTGAGTTCACGGGGTAGGCAATTGCTGCCAAAGTAGATCTGCCACAATGCAGAAACTATAGAGGTAAAAACGTAGGTTTTAGTATACTTAAACTCAGGTTCAGGATTAACACAAACAAACCAACCTGAATAAACATTGGGATTCTAAAGAGGCTTTTTATAGACAAAGTTATATCAGAATGACAAATAATTATTGACATATTACAGTCTAGTACATTCATTTCCTTTAGAGTTTAACCAAAATAAAAAGATTGCTAATTCCATGCTTCTTTCAGTGACATGAATTTTGAGCAAAGCTAATTAAGCAGAGTCATAATCACATACATCCTATAAGGAATGAATTTTAGTTAATCAGGCTCTGTAGGTAAACTAAGGTTACAGATTAAGCTACATTTAGAGGGTTCAAAGTGGGCTGATTCGGAGGGGAGATTTACATGTCAGAGGTCTTAAGTAAATTCTCCACATCCCAATGTTTAGGTTTCAGCCAGTTTCACAATCTCCTAACTAGTGTGACTTTGATCCCCAAATAATAAAAATTTGTTGAAAAGGATTATTATTACATCATTTCATGGCTTGTCCTCCTTTGTTTCTCTGCAGTGTGTTATTTCTGGAACAGGCCCAGCCTCTGACAAGAGGAGGGCCAGTGGAGGAGTCCACAAGCCCTAGGCCAAAGGCAGGGCTCCATCACCTTCTCAACTTGGAGTTCAGAATTCATGGTGTTGGCACTGGACCCTACAGGATAAGGGCTGCTGCCCAACTAGAACCTGAACTATCCCCTGATGTCTCCCATGATGGCAGCTTCAAAGTACATAATACTGGACTGTGCCTAACCCCCCAGTTTCACTAGGGAAATGGAAGCAACTGGAGGCATCTGGGAGATGTGTATCCAGCCCAGCCTGGGGCAACATCCTCGGCTGCACCCCAAGGAATCTTGAGACTAGAGACTTTGACCAGGGCCATCTTCCCTTATTAACCCTTACCAGATGTCTGCTGTCCCCAGGATGGCTGCTCATAAGCACAGGGTTGGCATGGGTCCTGTAGCACAAGGGCTGCTGCCCAGCTAGAACTTGAACTGTCCGTTGATGTCCCCATGATGGCAGCTTCAAAGTACATAATACTGGACTGTGCCTCACCCCCTCCCCCAGTTTCACTAGGGAAATGGAAGTAACTGGAGGCATCTGGGAGATGTGTATCCAGCCCAGCCTGGGGCAACATCCTCGGCTGAACCCCAAGGAATCTTGAGACTAGAGACTTTGACCAGGGCCATCTTCCCTTATTAACCCTTACCAGATGTCTGCTGTCCCCAGGATGGCTGCTCATAAGCACAGGGTTGGCATGGGTCCTGTAGCACAAGGGCTGCTGCCCAGCTAGAACCTGAACTGTCCGTTGATGTCCCCATGATGGCAGCTTCAAAGTACATAATACTGGACTGTGCCTCACCCCCCCCCCAGTTTCACTAGGGAAATGGAAGTAACTGGAGGCATCTGGGAGATGTGTATCCAGCCCAGTCTGGGGCAACATCCTTGGCTGAACCCCAAGGAATCTTGAGACTAGAGACTTTGACCAGGGCCATCTTCCCTTATTAACCCTTACCAGATGTCTGCTGTCCCCAGGATGGCTGCTCATAAGCACAGGGTTGGCATGGGTCCTGTAGCACAAGGGCTGCTGCCCAGCTAGAACTTGAACTGTCCGTTGATGTCCCCATGATGGCAGCTTCAAAGTACATAATACTGGACTGTGCCTCACCCCCTCCCCCAGTTTCACTAGGGAAATGGAAGTAACTGGAGGCATCTGGGAGATGTGTATCCAGCCCAGCCTGGGGCAACATCCTCGGCTGAACCCCAAGGAATCTTGAGACTAGAGACTTTGACCAGGGCCATCTTCCCTTATTAACCCTTACCAGATGTCTGCTGTCCCCAGGATGGCTGCTCATAAGCACAGGGTTGGCATGGGTCCTGTAGCACAAGGGCTGCTGCCCAGCTAGAACCTGAACTGTCCGTTGATGTCCCCATGATGGCAGCTTCAAAGTACATAATACTGGACTGTGCCTCACCCCCCCCCCCAGTTTCACTAGGGAAATGGAAGTAACTGGAGGCATCTGGGAGATGTGTATCCAGCCCAGTCTGGGGCAACATCCTTGGCTGAACCCCAAGGAATCTTGAGACTAGAGACTTTGACCAGGGCCATCTTCCCTTATTAACCCTTACCAGATGTTTGCTGTCCCCAGGATGGCTGCTCATAAGCACAGGGTTGGCATGGGTCTTGTAGCACAAGGGCTGCTGCCCAGCTAGAACCTGAACTGTGTGCTGATGTCCCCATGATGGCAGCTTCAAAGTACATAATACTGGACTGTGCCTCACCCCCCCCCCCCCCGGTTTCACTAGGGAAATGGAAGTAACTGGAGGCATCTGGGAGATGTGTATCCAGCCCAGCCTGGGGCAACATCCTCGGCTGAACCCCAAGGAATCTTGAGACTAGAGACTTTGACCAGGGCCATCTTCCCTTATTAACCCTTACCAGATGTCTGCTGTCCCCAGGATGGCTGCTCATAAGCACAGGGTTGGCATGGGTCCTGTAGCACAAGGGCTGCTGCCCAGCTAGAACCTGAACTGTCTGTTGATGTCCCCATGATGGCAGCTTCAAAGTACATAATGCTAGACTGTGCCTCACCCCCCCAGTTTCACTAGGGAAATGGAAGTAACTGGAGGCATCTGGGAGATGTGTGTCCAGCCCAGCCTGGGGTAGCCTCCTTGGCTGAGAGACTTTGACTAGGGTCTTCTTCCCTGATTAACCCTTAATAGGTGCCTGCTGTCCCCAGGATGGCTAATCATAATTCCTGAATCCTCCCCATCTCTCCTTGTGGGTGACAAGAGACTTCAGCCTCCTGGATCCTACGCCATGGTCCATATGAAACAGTGACGAAAAAAAAAAAAAAGAAGACAGACTTGGACTCATCTGCAGCTTTGGTTGCCACTTTTAGATTCCTGCCATCACCACCGTCTCTCCTTCCAAGCAGGAAATGGGTGGAAGGTTGCAAAGACAAAGGTTTCCTGTCCTTCCTGAGGCCAGCAGAGAGACAAGGACTTGGGCCCTCCCTCTTTATCCCTGCCTGGCTCTTGGGTTCTCTTTGGTTTGATCTTCACACATGCTGGCCCTCTGGAGGTGAGTGAGGGGGGCCCTCAGCCTACATGGACCCTGGGGAAGTACCAGGCTTAGAGCCATCACCCTACCCCACCCTCCATCTCTAGAACCCACCCCCCAGCACACTCCCCTCTCTCCTTCCCTGCCCTCTCATGTCTGCTGAGGTGGTGGGTGGAGCGTCCCTCTGTATGTTCCCCTTCCCGTACTTTGAGCTTGTTCTGGCCTTGGGGAAATGGAAACAGGCTGTGACCTTGACCTGTGTTGATCAGTAGGAGTCTCTGGGGTGAAAAAAGTATTTTTTTTCCTGAGGGGAGGGGGAGAGGTTTGCACAAGGAGGTAACTCCAGCTTGTCCAGCATCTTCTTAGTAAAACGACCTTGAGAGTGGTGAGAGGGTAGGCTGGGGACCATTCTGCCATTGGTTGTTTAAGGGCAAGGAGGAGAGAAGGGAAGCCACCCGTTGCCTTCTGTGAAACACTCTTGTAGCCAGCCATTGGCTGGGAGGGACCACGCAGGATGGCTGTGATTGGCGGGTGTAGTAGACTCCCTTCCCTTTTTCCCTGTTGACCTCCTAATGAGACAGACCAGAGAAAGGCAGGAGATGTACATCCAGAAGAAAGGTGCCCTTTCTTGGGCAGGTCACCTTTTTTTCCAGGCATGAAGCCTTCAAAGGAAAAACTGTTCCTTCTGTTGTATGAGTCACCAGGAGTACTCAGAGACTTTCCCATCAGCCGTTGTCTTTTTTCCCTGTGGCCAGGTTCAGGTGTGCATGGGGAGCTGCCCATAGAAGGCCCAGGAACTGTCCCTGAGCATCTGTTATTACTTCTGTGGCTACAGTTCCCTGCTACTGCTCTAGGGACACTGAACAACTGTTTATTGTAGGGATAGGGAAGTATGTGCTATGGGTTGGGGGGCAGAGTTTAACTTCCTTCCTATAGTCCCCCCAATTCCCTGAAAAGAAAACTTAGATACCTATTGGTGGTAAAGAAAAGGTATATGATGCATTGGGAAAAAAAGTACATGCTTAGCTATTGCGGTGAGGACTGTTCTGTGCAGTTGCAGAGCAGTGCCACAAAACTCAGTCCAGGGTATTATATAATGATGTTTTTTCCCGTGACATAGAGTAATGATCTCTCCTGTCTTTGTTGAGAATTCTCTAGCTCTGCTGTCTAAATGTGTTTCTATCCTCTCATGGCTTGTTCTCCTTTGTTTCTCTGCAGTGTGTCATCTCTGGAATGGGTCCAGCCTCTGCCAAGAGAATGGCCAGTGGAGGAGGCCATAACCCCTGCACCAGACATAGGCCCATTTACCTTCTCAACTAGGAAGTCAGGCTTGAGGATGTTGGCGAGGGGCCCTACAGGACAATAGCTTTTGCCCAGCCAAGCTCTGAGCCATCCTCTGAAGTTCCTATGATGGCAGCTTCAAAGTAGCTGAACCTTGGATTGTTCCAAGTTCCCCCTAATACCAGGCACCTGAAGTGACTGTCCAAATCCACGGCATGAGTGCTGGCCCCAGTCTAGGCTGCCATCTTGGGACCACTCCTATATGACCTGAACAGACTTGATCAGGGCTTTCCCTGAGCAACACTCCCCATAGCTCTGCAATCTCCATGATCTCTGTTTGAAAGCAGTGATGAATCTCCACATTTCATCCACCTTGTCTCCACTAAGTGAGGACAGAAAGAGCCCATTCTCCTGGATCCCTCTCCAGTTGATTGGCTCTGAGGGTGGGGGCTTGTCCAGGCCCCTGAAGGCTTCTGCTTAGGAAACTCAAACAGTACTGGATATTTTTACACGTGGTAAGTTTTCCACTCGTAATGTATGTAAACTAATGGTTTCTCATTTCTTTTGTGAAATTTTTACAAAGACAGTTCCTTCAGTGTGATTGGATTTTGCCAAGATCGTTAGAGGAAGTGAAAGTGTGGACAAAGTATTTGTCATTTTTTCCTTTATTCATATTGTTGAGCTTAGCTTTATATGGCTAAAATTTTTTCTATCCCAACAAACTTCCTGTTGAGGTCAGGCTGAACTCAGAAAAGTTCCAGGGAAGGCTGATGGTTGTCAGGAATGCTGGAGTCCTACCCAGTGCTTCTTTTGGTTCCTTCCAAAGCTTGTGTTTTGGATTTCCCAAGTTAGGTTGACTTACCTGCTGGCCTGCGTATCAAAGTGCCCTTCTCTTGGAGCCTACCTCCTAATGCGTGCCTGTGTGAGTCCAGTCAGGCAAATGTCCTTCTGCTCTTGTGCCCACTCTATGTAATGTGTCCTCACGATGATTCCTAGAGTGAACCACAGCTTCTTTCCTGCTTGTTCTCTCCCTACCAAACAACCTAATAAATTTCTTTCTAAAACTTTCAGATTTTGAAGGTGGTCCTCATGACCAGCAAGGGCCGTGGCTATTGTCCAGTGGGATACTGCAAGCTCCACTGGAATCGCCATGATGTCTACTTTAAAGTCAAAGGTTTCTCTGGACCTCAGATGTCCTTCTCAACCATAAAGATGAGGAGGACAGAGGAAAAAGTGGCCTGCCTCCTTGAAAGAGCAAGGCACTGAGTCCCTACTCACATATCTCCCCTCCACCCCCAATTTCCCCAGGGTTAGGATGGAGAGCATAAGACCCTACATCTTATAGAACATTATTGTGGGTCTTGTTTATGACCCACCCTGTGGACACTGAGTGGTGACCAAGGTCAGGCCTTAGTCACCTCTGTGCAGTGGACTATAAGAGTGACAGAACAGCTGGAGGGACAGTGAGAGAGATATCCTTGAGCCTTTCTTATCCGCACATGCCTCATCCCTTTTCAAGCACAATTCTTAACTCTATAAAAGGGAGATTGGAGCTCTTTGGAAGCCCCCAATGTTGTGCTACAGGAAAGAGAGTGTTTCAATTTAGACTAGGGCCCACAGTGCTCTGGAGTGGCAAGGTGATTCCTTCATGGCGAGATGGATGGCCTGGGGAGGCTTTTCTCAATCCAATGCCAGCAGTCCACCATCTTGTACCATCAGAGAGAAGGTGGCCTATTCTATATATGGTAAAGAGGTGGGGTACTACTTGTTAACTGTTTCCAGGGAAAATGAAGGTGGTAGGGAAAGCCACCAAATGAACAGTTTGAAGAAACTAGTGGAGTCCATGGACTAGACCATACAATTGTTTGGGGAGCATGTCTGATCTCCTTATACATCTAGTGGGGTTTGGGGCACAAGGAAAGCAGGGAGGCCAGAGAACAAAGTCTTTGCTGGACATGCAGAGTGTTTTTGTAAGAAATGTGTAAAGGAATTAATTATGTTCTTTGTAAATACTGTTCTCAAACTACTGAGCAGTCACATTTCTATCCACTCACAATTTGTTTCCAAGGGTAATCTTTTTTTTTTAAATTTTATTAATTTATTTTGATTTATCAACAATCACTTCCATATGCTTTTGAGTTGAAAATTTTTCTCCCCCTTCCTCCCCTCTACCCTCCCCAAGACAGTGCACAATCTGACATAGGCTTTATGTTTACTTTCCTGTTAAACATATTTTCACATTAGTGAGGTTGTAAGTAAAAATTAAAACCAATAGGAGGAACCATCAGAAAGATGAAACAAAACTCAACAGAAGGTAAAAATAAGTGATAGCAATTTGACTTCCATAGTTCTTTCTTTGGATGTAGACAGCATTTTCCATCCCAAGGCCTCTGGAGATGCTGAGAAAGGTTCAGTTTAACAATATTAGTCATTCCATAACGTGGCTGTTATTGTGTACAAAGTCCTCTTGGTTCTGCTCACTTCACTGAGCATCAGACCATATAGGTCTTTCTAGGTTTTTCTGAAGTCAGCCTGTTCGTCATTTCTTATAGCACAATAGTATTCCATTACATTCATATACCACAACTTGCTCAGCCATTCCCCAATTGATGGGCATCCTCTCAATTTCCAATTCTTTGCCACCACAAAAAGAGCTGCTATGAATATTTTTGTACATGTGGGTCCTTTTCCCATTTGTTTGATCTCTTTGGGATATAGCCCTAGAAGTGCTATTGCTGGATCAAAGGGTATACACATTTTTGTAGCCCTTTGGACATAGTTCCAAATTGCTATCCAAAATGGTTGGATCATTTCACAACTCCACCAACAATGTATTAGTGTTCCAATTTTCCCACATCTTCTCCAACATTTATCATTTTCCTGTTTTGTCATGTTGGCCAATCTGATAGGTGTGATGTGGTACCTCAGAGTTGTTTTGATTTGCATTTCTAATCAATAACAATTTAGAGCATTTTTTCATATGACTATAGATGGCTTTAATTTCTTCATCTGAGAACTGTCTGTTCATATCCTTTGACCATTTATCAATTGGGGAATGGCTTGTGTTCTTATAAATTTGTCTTAATTCTCTATATATTTTAGAAATGAGGCCTTTATCAGAGAGACTGGTTGTAAAAATTCTTTCCCAATTTTCTACCTTCCTTCTAATCTTAGTTGCATTGGCTTTGTGCAAAAACTTTTCAATTTAATATAATCAAATTATCCATTTTGCTGTATCTCCTGTTTGGTCGTGAATTCTTTTGTTCTCCATAGATCTGATAGGTAAACTATTCCTTGTTCTCCCAGTTTACTTATGGTATCAGCCTTTATATCTAAGTCATGAACCCATTTTGACTTTATTTTGGTATATGGTGTGAGATTTGGGTCTATGCCTAGTTTCTGCCATACTCTTTTCCAGTTTTCCCAGCAGTTTTTTTTCAAAGAGTGGGTTCTTATCCCAGAAGCTGGGGTCTTTGGGTTTATCAAATAATAGATTACTATAGTCATTGACTACTGTGTCTTGCATATTTAACCTATTCCACTGATCCACCTCCCTATTTCTTAGCCAGCACCAAGCAGTTTTGATGATTGCTGCTTTATAATACAATTTAAGATCTGGAATTGCTAGGCCACCTTCCCCTGCATTTCTTTTCATTAGTTCCTTTGATATTCTGGACCTTTTGTTTTTCCAAATGAATCTTGTTATTATTTTTTCTAACTCTATAAAATAATTTTTTGGTAGTTTGATTGGTATGGCACTGAATAAGTAAATTAGCTTAGTAGGATTGTCATTTTTATTATATTAGCTTGGCCTACCCATGAGCAACTGATGTTTTTCCAATTATTTAGATCTGATTTTATTTGTGTGAAAAGTGTTTTGTAATTGTGTTCATAGAGTTCCTGGGTTTGTTTCAGGAGGTAGACTCCTAAATATTTTATAATGTCTACAGTAAGTTTAAATGGGATTTTCTTTCTATCTCTTGCTGTTGGGCTTTGTTGGTAATATATAGAAATGCTGATGATTTATGTGGGTTTATTTTATAGCCTGCAACTTTGCTAAAGTTGTTTATTATTTCAAGTAGTTTTTTACTTGATTCTCTCAGTATATCATCATGTCATCTGCAAAGAGTGATAGCTTTGTTTCTTCTTTGCCTATTCTAATGCCTTCAATTTCTTTTTCTTCTCTTATTGCTAAAGCTAACGTTTCCAGTACAATATTGAATAACAGTGGTGATAATGGACATCCTTGTTTCACCCCCAATCTTATTGGAAATGCTTCTAGCCTGTCCCCATTACATATAATGCTTGCTGAAGGTTTTAGATAGATGCTATTTATTATTTTAAGGAAGACTCCATTTATACCTATGCTTTCTAGTATTTTTAATAGGAATGGGTGTTGTATTTTATCAGGTAATCTCCTTTTAGGGCCGTGTGTGGACAGGGACCCAAGGGCCAGGCCCTGCTATCCTCTTGTTCCTGGATTTGGAGGTTTTTCCCCAAGACCTATGGAAAGAAAGGATTTGTCTTGTCTTGTATGAGCATTCTCTACCTCAGAAGTAGACAGGTGTGTAGACAATGGCGTAACCTCACAGTGTTCTCATTTGCATTTCTTCATGATCAGGTGTGGAACAAGATACCTTGTGGAGGCCCAAATGCCAGTAGGACCTTTGGGGTGAATGATCTCGGGGACTAGGAGTAGCTAGATACCGAGACATTCTTGTATTTCATGTAGTAATGGGCACATGGACGAAACCCAAAATAGGTTATATAACGTGTCTGGGGCAGCTATTTGGCCCAGCAGATAGAGCCCCTGGCCTGAAGTCTGGAAGACCTGAGTTCAAATCCTGCTGAAGACACTGGCCGTGTGACCCTAGGCTAGTCATTTGACTTCTCTTTGCCTCTTTTTCCTCATCTGTAAAATTGGTGTAATAGCACTTACCTCCCAGGTTTAATGTGAAGATCACATGTGCCAATTATTTTAGAGCCCTTAATAAAATGCCTTGTACATTTGAAGTATTACATAAATCTTAGGTAGTATTATTGGGATTTTTGTAATTATTATTTTTTATGTTGTTATTAGTATTAAGTCCTTCATGTCTGGTGTCCTGGGATAAGCAGGGAATCCATTTAGAGAAAAATATATGTTATTTAGCCAGAGGGGTGACAGTGTTTCATTCTCATGCTATACCCCCATGAAGGTCAGCTTTATGACTGGCAATTATATTGGCTCTTGTGGATCATTACATTGAGTGCCCTACCATTCCCTGATGCAGTGAGAAAGCCTCATTCTAACTAGACTATAAACGACTTCTATCGAGCAGGAGAACATTTTTGTGTACTTATCTTTTCATTCTTCGAGTCAAGTATTGTTTTGTTTTATGTTTTTAGAGCTACCTTGATTAAGGCCAGCAGTGGCTTTGGCTGCTAGATGTGATAACTAGGATGGAAATACTCGTAGAACACAGAAACAGAAGCCCTTTGAGTCACCATCCTGGCCTTCAGGCAGATGATGGGC